TTTATTCACCAAGGCGCCCTCGGGGGTTACAAGAAATAATGGCCACAAGCTAGCAGAGAGCAGATTTAGACTGGACATTAGGAAGAACTTCTTCACAGTTAGAGTGGCCAAGGTCTGGAACGGGCTCCCAAGGGAGGTGGTGCTCTCCCCTACCCTGGGGGTCTTCAAGAGGAGGTTAGATAGGCGTCTAGCTGGGGTCATCTAGACCCAGCACTGTTTCCTGCCTATGCAGGGGGTCGGACTCGATGACATATTGAGGTCCCTTCCAACCCTAGCATCTCTGAATCTCTGAATCTATGAACATCCAAGGAAGGCAATTCCACCACCTCTCTAGGTAACCCGTTGCAGTGCTTCACCGCCCTCTTAGTGAGAGAGTTTTTCCTAATATTCAACCTAAACCTCCCTTGCTGCAACTTGAGACCGTCGCACCTTGTTCTGTCATCTGTCACCACTGAGAGCAGTCTAGCTCCAAGAGATTTCCCAGAGACAGTGGCAACATGTAAGGGGTGCACGGTGGTGCACATGCACCCCCTGAGAGCACTGGTGCACCCCCTGACAGGCCGCACTCCCCGCTTAGACGATGGGCAGGGGGGGCCAGCAGGAGTACCGGTACCCCCCTGTGAGCACCGGCCGGGAAGTGGGAGCTCTGCAGCCACTTCCAGAAGCACCATGGCCAGGTCCAGAAGCCAGTGAGTGAGATCAGACCAGACACAGTGCCATGGGGGACCCCCCCACCCCAATCAGCAAGAATGACCATGGTGGGGACTCCCCCCTTGTCACTGACTGGTCACTGGAGCAGGCACGTGCCCCCCGCCCAAGTAAGGTGGCACTGGTCGCTCATTCCCAGAGATTTCAAATATAAATCCATAGTGTCAAAAACATGTTGGGGTCTTTTTGAGTTCTTTGTAATGGAATAATTGTTCCATTACTTTTCCATAGTCAGGAAATTAGTGAAAGGTAAGAGCTAGAATTTTCTGAGGTCTGGTGTCTAAAAAAGCTGAGAATCACTGATCTAGTGCATGTTTAGTAGCTTTCTAACTACTGTAGTGCATGCATTTCTGCCTTTTGCCTCTGTAACAGTATCTTGATACCATTATCAAGGAGGTGTCAAAACAACATTATAGTGGACAAAGGGAGAAGTGCATGCACTACAGCTATAAAGTAGCATACAAAATATACTAAATAAATGTAATATGCATTTATGGCATCTACTATATTCTTCTAGTTGTGCTTTCTTGGGGAAGTTTCCCCTCTCACCAGAGAAACCCATTTCTACCCCCCAACTCATACAACAAACAAAACTATTCTTTATAAGATTGGTTTTATTTACTGAATGTAGCAGAGAAAATCCAGGGTGAGCATGATATACTCTTTATGTTCTTACGGGAACAAGATATTCAGGTAAAATTGTTCCTTAAAACTTTCTTGGAAAGATTTCTCATTAGAGGGAGATGAGCTCATACAACGCAATCTAGTACTATGCTTTCACAGATTGTTTTAAGAGAGAATCAAAATGCAAATTTGGCACCCTGAACAAAAAAAAGCTTCCCACATTGCCAGATTTGCAAAGAGAATTGATGAGACAACTTGCACACTGGCTGGGCGAGGAAAGTTGTCTCAGATTTGTTTTGATTGGTTACGGCTCAAAGAAGTGTTTGTTGGACACTATGGGCACATCCAGATGAGCAGGAATGTGCGCTTTGCAGCACCTCAAAGACTTTTGGGGCACTGCAAAATGCATGCAGCGCATGTCAAAAGGTTCTTCTCCACATGGAGTCAATATTAGATTCTGGGGAATCCCAGTATCTAAAAACAGTGCCAAAGAAAAGTGGGGTGACACACATGGTTGCAGTGTGCACTGACCAAAACCGGAGCCTGACTGGCCAGAGCCACCCTCTGGCTACCAGCCAAGCTCTGCATGCCCAAATTGCTGCTGCTACAGCCCCAGGAGGCCCCCAGGTTCCCAGCCTCCTAAACCCGACCTGGGGCAATTTGCTGCACACCAGAGTGCACATGCAGGAGCATGCCTGGAAACAACTAACAGCAGCACAAATATGTGGGGTACGCGCATTCGCACTCGTGGGGACACTCCTTTCAAGGTGCCATATCCAGATCTTATCAGTCTATGACAAGACATTCTGAGAAAGTAAAAGAGAAGTCAAAGAAGAAAAGGTGGGGGAAGCATTGCCAATTCAATGTTTCTGGGCATTTATACTCGTGCTCCAGGAGTGGGAAGGGGGCTTGGAGCATCATGTATATCTGTGTCCCTGTACTGAAAAATGGCAGCAGGGGCTCATTGAACAAGCTTTAGTTAAAGTGCCCCTGCTGCGATTTTTCAGCATGGGGACACTGATACACGTGATGCTGGAGTCTGCCGGAGCACGGTAAGTACAACACTCCAGCAGACTTGATTAATCGAGTCTGCTCTGACACACTGCAATTACAGTGCATTGAAGCAACCTCACTGCACGTGTATAGGCACCCTCTGTTACTAGATCTAGTGATTTTGGGGGGGTTTCTAATAAAATGCATATATTAATATTTCTTTAGAAGTTTGTAGTGTGTAAAGCTTGGTGAAGTCTCTCAGGACATTTTTATGTCTCTAGAAGATCTCCCTGTTAACAGTTAGTTCCTTTTTGGAGTTTGTCTGGTGAATTTTTGCTTTCAGGAGTTGGCAATACCATGAGGGGTGGCGGCTGTTGGAAAAACCCTCCATACCTCAAAAACAAAAATAATACTTGTACTGTATCCTCAAAAACATTTTACAGCCAGGTAAGTACTAGCCCAGTGAGGTATTATCCTCATCTTAGAGAAAAGAGAGGAAGACACGCTGAGTAATTTGACAAAGGTTGTCAAGGCTGGGGTTAGTGCACGGGAGGTCCTGGCTCCAGTTCTTTGATAGGAAAGTACCTTTCTTGCAACCCAACCCTCTAAGGTTCATGTGCATGTCAAAGCTATTTTTGGCCTTTAATATAATCTCCCTCCTTTTGAGGTATGAGTTCAAAACTTGTTTAAATCACAAATGAACAGACTGTGATAGTCTCAATTCTAATAGATTAAGTAATGGTTATTCACTTTGCAAGTTACCATATAACATGCTAGGGTTGATGGCCAGGGCTAGATTATGACATGCTAGGGCCCTAAAATATGCCAAGCTTAAGAAGCCCCATAGTATTACCAAAAAGTTACCTCAAGAATCCGGATATCAAATATCTGGCATCCTCAAAAATCCGACACTTCCCCCGCCGCTCCCTCCCGCTGGCCTGGAAGTGGCGGGGGAAGCTTGCATACGGCTGCTACAACCTGCATTAAGCACCCCACGCTGCTGGTCTGCGTGCGGCTGGTGCTCCAGGACAGGCCACCGCTACCCCCCATACCCTTCCCCAGCTCTGCAACTGGGTGCAGTGCCAGTTTTTAAAAAAATGGCATTTTCAAATTTCTGGTTCAAGCTCAGTGCTGAGCACGCCAGATTTGTGAGGTTTTACTGTATTTTTTTTCCATA